AGATAGAAGGATTAATCCATGGTTTGAGTCCCATTAAGTAATGTAAAAGCATAAAGCTTCCAACTTTATGGCTTAAGACACCTTTATGAGCTTGGATTTGAATTTTGGACGTTAAATCTTAATGGGTTAAGTCATTGGAACATTTTTGGGCCGACTGACCAGTGCGTTGGGTGTACTCCTGGGTGCGCTGCGCGTACTGGGCCATTTCCCCGATTCCGGATCAACGGCATATGACCGGCGTACGAGCCATGTACGCCGCGCGTATGTAGTCTATGGGCTTAAGGGATTCTGGGCTCGGGTTTTGTTGGGCTTTTTTCCTTGTTTAGCTTTAGGCCTTAGGCCTTTTTGTAGTAGCATGACATTTTTGGGCTTTAGGCCATTTTGGAGCTCTTGAGCCCGTATTGGGCCTTAGGGTCTTTTAGTTGGGCTTGGAATGCCTTTTGGGCTAGTTAGGATTTGGGCCTTGGTGGGGTAGTCCCATTGAGGCAAAGGTTAAGCAACCCTTTGCCCTTAAAGTCAAGATTTAGGGTTTGGACTCCCGGGTTGGATTATCGACCTAATTTTTAATTAGGGTTGTATACTTATGATTTAGAGAGAGGATTTCGCGAGTCAGCCGCTCAAGTATGATTTTAGACGTTCAGTCTGAGGTGAGTTTCCTTCAATGTATTCGTAGGTCGAAGGCACCAATGTCGGCCCACTCGATTATGCTTGTAGTATGATGATTGTCTTCGTGACAATTGTTCGTTATACTTATAAATGCTTGATGTCTTTGTGACTCTTCTGTTATGATATTATGTGGTAGTGGTAGGGGTGAAATAGACTCGATACGGTTGAAAGAGACCGAAGGGTTGAAATATACCCAATACTGGTTGAAAGAGACCGAAGGGGTTGAAATATACCCACTATCGGTTGAAAGAGACTGAAGGGGTTGAAATATACCCAGTACAGGTTGAAAGAGACCGAAGGGTTGCGAGCACCCATATATGCTTGAATGTTATGTATGTATGTATGGTATGTGGTATTTTGGGGGAACTCACTAAGCTTTGTCCTTACGGTTTTCAGTTTATGTTTAAGGTACTTCCAGCTCGAAGGGAAAGGGCCCGACCTGATCGCACCGCATCCTCCTATGATTTTCCGCATCACGTGATTTTGGGATCTTGCACTCTGATAATATGTTATTATGATATACTCTTGACTATTTTTACATGATTACAGTATGAATGAAATGAATTTAAAAGTGAAAATTTAATTAGAATTTTTGGGATGCTACAATTGGCCTTCACGACATGAGAAAAGGTAGTCTATGCGACTGTTTTGTCTCGAGGCTACCACGCCGTGACAAAAGCTCGGTCACGACGTGGCGGCTGATTGGGAGAATTTTGACTGTTGACTTTGACTTTGACCGTTAACTTTTTGACCAAGTTTGACTTTAGGTCAATTTGAGGGTTTTGGGCTGTAGTTTAAGGATTGGCCCCCAAATTTTGTATAGGTGGCCTGTAGTAACAGGTTTTGGATTTGCGAGAGTTGTGTTGTTATCTGCTAGATTGCCAGGTAAGTTTCCTCACTATTCTTTGTACTACACTATGTATCCTTGTGTGTAGGATGTTTGGTATGCTGTAGTGATCTGGTTGATTGGTTGATCTGTTATGATTACCTATATTGTTGGCTATTGTCTGTTTGTTTGTTTATGTGCATATGTTGATATGTTGTGGTTGGGTTGAGGCGGTCATGCTTTGTGTTGTAGGCCAAGATATCCGGGCGGTCCAGTGTACTGTAGGCCTTGTGAGACGGTCCAGTCAGAATGTAGGCCCAAGGGAGCGGTCCAGGTATTGTAGGCCTTGCGAGGCGGTCTAATAAACTGTAAGCTCATGAGTGCATTCATTGTATGTGTATTTTTGTGTGGGGTATTTTGTGGGAACTCATTAAGTTTTGACTTACAGTTGTGGATTTAAATGTTTTTAGGTACTTCAGATGATCGGGGCAAGGCGAAGGTGTGATCATACACATCCTCTTGCTGATATATGTCTTGAGAGACGATATTAATACTCTGATTTTTTTTGTTTCATTTTGGAAGCAATGTTTGATTATTCTATGGATTTTATGAAAATGTCTTTTGAAAATGAAAATTTTTACCGTGGTTTTTGGGACGTTACATATATCATTGGAAAAAAGCATACATCATTAGGTGTTGGAATAAATTTTCATCTATAATCAAAGTTAATATATACGGACTAAGAGTTCATGCTTAACGAAATCCGATTTCTACTGGGAAAGCCTTGGTGTAGTCAACTATACTTGAGACTTTACAAGGAAGTAGTAGACCGACAATACATATTGCGAATAGCCCGAACATAACTCCTGAAAAATCCTTCTAGCTTTGAAGATCTTCTAAATTACACAATATAAGTATAAGAAATACGCCCCCTTTGGGTTTTTCTTTAATAGTGGATCAGTGAGAATCTAACATGATTTTACATACTAAGATGAAAGTTTGATTATTGTTTTGGGCAAAGTTGTTAATATTGAGATTTTATTTATAATAGTTGTATGTTTTGCAAAATCAAGATAGAGTCTTCAAATTTGCTCTTAAGATATCGTTGGTATATACCCATATTAATTTGATGTCAACGGTGGATGAAATTGTAACTTCTTAAACAATAAACAAAATAGGCAGAATTTCGTATATACCCTTGTTAAACATCTAAATATCGTATTTACCCGGCCTAACCTCTAAATATCGTATTTGCCATTCTTAATGTTTTTTAATATCATATATATCCAAATCTATTTTTTTGATAATTTTTATTGATTTATAATCTTTTTTATTTTTTTTAAAATCATTAAAGCTAAAAACAACAACCAAATGGACAATATTGCCCTTAGTTCTAAATTGCAATACATCACGTGTTAAAGCAAATTAGGATTGCAGATCGCAGCCTCGTCTCTTTCCTATCACAACCTCTTAAACATACGAGGAGCTTCCTATTCCCCCTTGTTATCGTAATCAGATTTCAAGATTAAAATCAACACATCTGAGAGCATAGAAACTAAGATCAAATAGAAAAGATTGAACATAGTTATCATCAGTTGTAGACCATTAATGGCGAACATCAACACAAAAGTGATGATGAGTTCCCACAAGAAAGCTTCTAAATCTGTAGTGGGATTTGAGTATCGAGTTAAACTTTGTCATTTAACTTATTCTAAATCTATTATCTTTTGTTATCCAATTCATGTATGAACAACATATACAGTTAAAGTTTAAACAAAAAAAAAAAATTCTCAACTCGATATAAAAGTCAACAATGGTATCATTGATAAACTTCTCTGGATGTCACATCTGAAAGTCTCTTTAGATATAGAAATAGAATCACAATCCCCTCAATAGGTAATTTCTTCAAATAATTCATATGAGCTGTGAATCAATCAAGCAAAAATGTCATGGAATAGATTTGAACCCAATTATAGGCTTACAGAGAAAGGACTCACTCAAGATCAATTGCCCATTTTTCCTTATACTGCTCATCCAGAGATTTAATAAGCTCTTGTATAGAATCCCAATTAGGGTCACAGACAGTGGAATTCACCTTCAAAATGATGCTTGGAAGATTGTTTAGAAAATAAACTTATGACTTGTTATATGTTTAATCATATATCAGATATGCATTTGTAAGAATAAACCCATCATATCTTGAAACCAAATATATATTGGAAATGCAAATACCTGACTTTTGACCCTCGATAAAGAAGGATAGGGAAGGCAAATGGCATAAATACCTAGTGCTTATTACCCTTGATGCGACAACATAGCACCATCAGCAAAGAAAGAAGACGATGAGACACCGGCGAACGTGAGGAGACAGAAGGCAATCGTGAGGAAGATGATGACCAGAGTATAACCTCGTTTGAATTGAATGTATTAAACCTGTGATTTGTAAAGGAAGGGCAATATTGTCAATTTAGTTGTTGTTTTTTACTTTTAATGATTTTAAAAAGATAAAAAAGATTATAAATCAGTAAAAATTATAAAAAAAACAGATTTGGGTATATATGATATTAAAAACATTAAGAAGGGCAAATACGATATTTAGAGTTTAGGTCGGACAAATACGATATTTAAATGTTTAGTAAGGACATATACGATATTCTGCCAACAAAATATTATAGATGCAAACCACAATAATAATAAAGAACACATGATGAACGTATGAAGTTTTGATGCTTTATGAAATTTTTTTACGATATCCTACCTAATAAATGAAAATACTTTTGCCACTTGTCATCTTCTCCTTCATTTTGACAAATGTCATTTTCTAGGATTTTTAAAATTGTTATTTTCCACTTGTCATATTCTGGGGATTTCAATTTTCTTAAAATAAATTTCCAAAAAATTCTAATTAGTTATATATATGTAAGGTTATCATTCTATTAATTTGATAATAAATTCTCATAAATGCTCTAAACATTTGATTTCTTTCATAAATACTCTAAAAGATTACATTTTGTTATGGAAAAACATTATTTTATAAAATATTTAATGTTTAAATATTTATATTAAATTTTATTTTTAATAAACCCGTATAATACACGGTCTCACAGTGTAATATATGATTTCAAATCGAGTAGACAAATATTTAAGCTTATGATTTCAAAAAGAGTAGAGTTTTTAATCTTATTTAAAGTGTTTAATCTTATTTCTTTAGTCTTTATTTGATAGAAATAAAAAATTTCTTAAGTTGAGTATAGTAACTTAAAAAAGAATACAAAATAGTGAAAATAAAAAGAACATCAATAATAATCTGAACTGTTTGAAATGGTATCCGCTTTTAGCTTTAAGGGTGTGTATACGACCATAAATCACAAGCACAATCTCCTCGATTCCCTTTACTCTCATTTTCCTTTCTCCAATATGTTCTTCCCTGCTGTTCCGATTCCATGCCGTTCTTCAATCTAATCAACTTCGGAATCTGCGCAGTTTCTGCGGATCAATTGTGTTTCAGATGGGTAGTAGCAAGAACAGATGGAGATTTACTCTCCTCCGATCACCCACCAATCACAGAAAACCATCACCACCGCCGGAATTCATCTGTCCCATATCCGGTGAGCTAATGGCAGACCCTGTTATAGTTTCCTCCGGCCAAACATTCGAGCGGAATTGCGTCCTCGCGTGTATTTCCCTCTCCTTCAAACCCACCACCTTCCTCGCCACCGTCGATTTCACCACCATCATCCCTAATCTCGCTCTCAAATCCGCCATCGTTAATTGGTGTCGAACTAATTCCTTCTTACCGATCCCTCAGCCGATTGATATCCGTTCCGCTTTGAAAATCGTGCAAGCGTTAATGAAGGATTCCCCTGATTTCCCGTTAATTCGTTTATCCAGTTGCTTGTCGTCGACATCGGAGGATTCGGTGGTTGCGGCTGCAGCTGACTCGTGTTCCACTACTCCTCTCCCGTTGTTAACAACTCGTCCTTTTTGTTACTCATCTTCTTCATCCTCTGAAATCGATAACTCCATTGAAGAAGATGAAGAAATTTTTTGTAAGCTCAGAAGCGGGTTGACGTCGAATCAGGAAGAAGCAGTGGATTCCTTGAGAAAAATCACACGAATGAAACAGGAATCCCGGATCCATCTCTGTACGCCGAGATTACTCTCGGCGCTCCGGCATCTAATCGTGTCAAAATACTCTTCCGTTCAAGTGAACTCCGTCGCGGCGTTGGTAAACTTATCATTAGAAAACGCGAACAAAGTGAAAATCGTAAGATCAGGAATCGTCCCGCCGTTAATCGACGTATTAAGAGGCGGATTCCCGGAGGCACAAGACCATGCCGCCGGCGCGTTATTCAGCTTAGCTCTCGACGATCAGAACAAAACCGCCATCGGCGTTCTTGGCGCTTTACCCCCATTACTCCACGCCCTCCGCTCCGGCTCCGACAGGTCCCGCCATGACTCCGCCTTAGCTCTATACCACTTATCTCTCGTTCAAAGCAACCGCTCAAAGCTGGTGAAACTCGGGTCAGTTCAATTATTTCTAAACATGGTGAAATCCGGTCATATGACTGATCGGGTCATGTTGGTTCTCGGCAATTTAGCTACCAGCATCGAGGGCCGGGCGGCAATGCTGGACGGAGGCGCGGTGGAATGCTTACTCCGGTTACTGAGTCATGCGGAATTTGACTCTGAGTCGACTCGGGAATGTTGTTTGGGAGCGTTATATGGGCTGAGTCAAGGCGGGTTGAGGTTCAAAGGGCTTGCAAAAGAGGCCGGAGCTGAAGAATTGCTAATCAAAGAAGAGGAGACAGGGACTGATCGGTGTAAAGAGAAGGCAAAGAAAATCTTGGAGGTGATGAGACAGAAATATGAGGAGGAAGAGACGGTGGATTGGGAGGCGTTGCTCAATTCCGACGAGTTGACTCGGTCACGATATGAACTTGTTTATGGGAAAGGGTAAACTCGTTTCATAATTGGACATATGTTTTTGTGGGCAGTTTTTGGGTTTTGTTTTTTGTGATCATTTTTATGTAATTTGGGGAACCCTTTTGTTTATGTGTGCATAGAAAAAAAAAACATAGTGGTGTAAATAAAGATTTTCAAATGGATTCGGATTTTTGCCCACCCGTATGAATGTGGTGGTGCTCGGGGTCTCCAAATTGTCGAAAGACTGGCATGCATGCATACCGAATGAGAATTCACATGTGAGGTCTCATGTTTCGGTTATAAGTTGTATGGAGAATTCATAATTGAGGTCTTAGGTTATAGTTGTAAAGAATTGAAAATTCATAAGTGAGGTATGATGATGTTCAGGGTATAGTCGTATAAGGAACGAAGAATTCATCAGTGTGGTCTCTTATGTTCAAGTCCAAGCATCAGCTTCTTGCTTTTGGGATATTGTAATTTATCTTTTCTATGTGTTGGCTGTGTGGCTGGTTGATGGAAACACCCAGAAGTGGTATTTGAATCTGTGATTGAGTTTTAATTGTCACCGATGAGGGTTGTAATACAAGGGTTTAGTTTGATAGTGTTAAGCATTTAGTTTAATTTGTTGATATTTATGTGTTAATAATTTGAAGCTAATGTGACAAAGTTTCGAGTTTTCTTTGGAAAACTTAGGTCCCGTTTGATAGTTTCTGTCTGGGAAAGTGTTGTCTGGTAAAGTGATGTCTGAGAAAGTTTTCTGACTGGGAAAGAAACCATGCTGTTTGATTGTACATCTGATTGACTGTGCTGAATGATGAAAAAAAGTAATAATTCAATAAAAAATATAATTAAAAAAAGTTATTTAAAAAAATTAATAATCCAATAAAAAAAGAAAGAGGCGGGGTTTGGTGTATAATTGTCTTTCCAGCCCATTCAGCCAGAAAGATATGATTTTGGGGCTTTCTGGGAAAGACATATCTTACCGGGAAAGACCCCTTCTTTTGTGCAAATCAAACAGTCTTTCCGATCCATTCAGCCAGAAAGATCTGTTTGGACCTGGAAAGATGCGTATCAAACGGGGCCTTAATACATGTACCATTATTGATATTGACTGCTTTATTGATGAGAGGCGAGAAAATAATGTTTGGAAATGGAGGTGGCGTCATCAGTCGGGGAGATGTCCAAATTTGAATCAATTTTTGCAACCAAGTGATTTATTGCTTGATGTGAAGTTCTTCGAGCGTTATGATAATTATGTGTGAATTTTCATAGAGTTTGTTGTTAGGGATGTTAGAAAAATGGGGTATAGAAAGGCTTGGAATTCTGAGAATTGTGTTAAACACTTTCAGATTAAAGCATTTTGGTGGTACTCCCAATATTCTTTAATCGGATAAGACTCAGAGAGACAAGAACTTAGAATGTTTTGAAGATAGTTTCGTATTTTTTCAGAAATGAGACCAACACCGACTTTATGATCTTTGAAGAGAGACACGAACTTAGAATGTTTTGAAGATAGTTTCGACCTCAGCCAGGGGCTCTGCCCCTTGGACCCCGCTCCTAGGGGCGCTGCCCCCGGACCCCCATTCGTTTAGGGGCTTCGCCCCTAAATGACAATGTACTTTGAAACTTGATCAAACTTAAACAAGTGTGTACTCCACACATTCCTTACTTGTTTAATATTTATCAATATCTCTTTTGGTCAACAAAGTAATCCCATTACACTTAAATAATATTGATGATAAAAAATCACCAACAAACCTCCCCCATTTAAGTGTAATCTTGATTAACTTAAAATGAAACATAACACCAACAAACTGATGCACAAATGAAATGTCGTGATGATTGAATTTCACATTAGTATATTACACAATCCAAATATTCAAATATTAGGGTGTCACTAAGGATTGAATCCTTTCTATCCATAGTGAATAAAGATAATACACACAACAGTTTACATTCTCATAAGTTCTAACTTGACACTATATTTTACTAGCTTGTGTCCCGTCCTTCAATAAGCATATCAAAGTCAAGTCCTAACTTCTTGAAGCAGCTAAACTTCATGCTTATATAGGTAGTCCTTTTATTCTTGCACCTGCAAATGCAATTTTTCAAAAGAACTATTAAGTATATAAATTCAACCTCCTTTACTTGCAGTACTGAACACATACCTTGGGATGATGATAATAATGTGTTTCAATCTTCAAATATCAAGCTTTCCACATTGAATTCAACATCTAATATCACATTAGATGGGAATTGGGTATCTCAATATAAAAGATTTTAAGTGGACTTTAAGCCCATCCCTACAGCCGCCTTGTGCACAAGATCTCTTGCTAACCCTTTGGTTAGATGATCAGCTAAATTCAACTGAGTTCTTACAAACTCCACAGATATCACACCAGTCATGATGAGCTCACGAATCATGCTATGTCTTACACCTAAATTTCTAGACTTTCCATTGTACACTTGACTATAAGCCTTAGCCAAGGTTGCAACACTATCACACCTGATAGAAATGGTAGATATCGGTTTGGGCCACAATGGAATTTCATACATCAAATTCCTTAGCCACTCATCTTCTTTACCAGCAGCATACAAAGCAACAAACTCAGACTCCATGGTTGAGATAGTAATACAAGTCTGTTTCTTAGATGCCCAAGAAATGGCACCTCCTCCAAGAAGAAACACCCAACCACTAGTAGAGGAGTGATCCTCTAAGTTGTTAATCCAGCTGGCATCTGAATAACCTTCCAAAACAGAAGGATATCCACTATAAGTTAAACCATAATTCATGGTCCCTTTTAAGTACTTGAATACTCTACTCACAGCTTGCCAATGATGTGTACTAGGATTACTAGTATATCTACTAAGCCTTCCCACAACATAAGCTATATCAGGCCTAGTACTAATCATGGCATACATGAGACAACCAATAGCCCTTGAGTATTCAAGTTGAGACACTGGAGATCCTTTATTAGGTAGAAGCTTAAGACTAGGATCTATAGGAGTGCTAACAGGAGAATAATTGTCAAAGTTAAACTTTTTCAATATCTTCTCAATGTAATGAGATTGAGAAATTGAAATTCCATTGTTTCCTTTTCTAATTCTTATACCAAGAATTACCTCAGCCTCCCCCATGTCTTTCATATCAAAACTGGATGATAAGAATTTCTTGGCTTTATCAACTTCTTCTAAATCAATACCAAAAATCAACATATCATCCACATATAAAAAAAATCATGACTCCTTTACCAGAAGTATCAAATTTGCTCTATACACACTTGTCAGCTTGGTTTAATGCAAAACCATTAGACAAGACAACATCATCAAACTTTTGATGCCATTGTTTTGGTGCTTGTTTCAAACCATATAATGATTTCTTCAACTTACACACTTTGTGTTCATTTCCAGGCATCACAAACCCTTCAGGTAGTTTCATGTATATTTCCTCATCCAAGTCACCATTCAAGAATGCAGTTTTAACATTCATTTGGTGAATCACAAGATTATGTATAGCTGCAAGAGCTAATAATAATCTAATAGTGGAAATTCTGGCAATAAGAGCATAAGTATCAAAGAAATCAATGCCTTCCTTTTGTCTAAAGCCTTGGATAACCAATCTGGCTTTATAATTATCAATTGTGCCATCCACCTTCATTTTTCTTTTGAGGATCCATTTACATCCTAATGCCTTACATCCAGGAGGTAAATCAGACAATACCCAAGTATTATTATGCATGATAAAATCAATTTCATCCTGAATTGCTTCTTTCCAGAAATGAACATCCCTAGAAGCCATAGCTTCACTAAAAGTCTTTGGATCCTCCTCAATATTAAAACAATATTGATGTTGACATATAGTCTCATTCCTTGTTCCTTCAACTAGATAAAGTTGAAAATCAGATCCAAAAGACTTAGCTTTTCTAGCTCTAGTGATTTTCCTAGGTTCAGGTACAGAACTTGCACCACCAGAAACATCTTCAGCTTGAGTAGTACTCTTGTTGGAAGATTGATGAATCATGTCCCTTAGTCTAGGTATAGATGTAAATATTTCTTCATCAAAGATAACATCTCTTGACTATATCACTGTGTTTACAGACACAGAGTCATTAGATTCTAAAACATAGAATCTATATGCTTTGGAATGCTCAGAATATCCAATAAAGATATAATCTATACCTCACTCACCCAATGTTTTCCTTTTGGGTTCAGTAAGCCTTACAACTACTCTACAACCCCAAACTTTGAGATAACTCAAATTTGGTACCTTTTTACACCAAAGTTCATAAGGAGTATTCTTACTCCTTTTATTTGGAGTTCTATTCAAGATGTAACATGAAGTTAACATTGCCTCACCCCAAAACCCTTCACTTAAACCATAATATGACAACATGGAATTAACAATTTCTTTCAAAGTCCTATTCTTCCTTTCAGCTACACCATTTTGTTGTGGTGTATATGGAGCTGTGGTTTGATGTATTATTCCAGTTGATTCAAAATAATCAGGATCATAATACTCACCACCTCTATCAATACGCAATACTTTTATTAATTCATTTTTATGAAGCTCAACTTGTTGTTTATAAATTTTAAATTTATCAAGTGCTTCATCCTTAGAATGTAGCAAATAAATATAACAATATCTAGATGCATCATCAATAAAAGTAACAACATACTTCTTGTTTCCAAGGGAAGGTGTTGCATGGAAATCACATAAATCACTATGTATAAGATCCAACACCTTGCTTTCCATAACAACATCTTTGAAAGGTTGTCTAGTGATTTTAGTTAGCATGCATGTTTTGCATTTTTCATTATTTTGCATATCAAAGGCAGGAATTAAACTCATTTTAGACATGTCTTTTAATCTATTGTAATGAATGTGTCCTAGTATAACATGCCATAATTCAGATTTATGAAAATTATTGCTAGTACTACTAAAAGCCATGCAAACAAAATTATCACTAGAAGGATAATTAATATTAAGCCTAATCATTCCATTATATACATAGCCAAATCCCATAAAAGAACCAC